TTAAAAATCGGAAATTTGGCAATAATGCATGTTAAAATTAATGCAACATTAAAAACATGGTCATTTCCTAAAAGTGCGTAATTTTTAGAGAATTTTCGTTAAAACCGCAACTTCATAGCTCAATTTTAATGCCACTTACGGAATTTGCCTGTTTTCAACTTGGCAGCGCTGTAGCGCGCGGGAAAAATTTCGGGTGAACTTGCCAATGCCGGAAAAAGGCGTGTCTTGTGATAGGGAACAACATATCCAACTCCGGGCAAAATCCAAGCGTAGGGTAAAATCACCGATTTTGAATAACCCTCTTTACTGACAGAAAACAGAATTTTGCATAGCGAACATGTACATAATTATTGCATATCATGTAAATTCCAGGCATGTATAGAGGGTGACGGGGTGAGAAGGTTGAGTTACTCGACAGCGCAGCAACCGGCGCGGCAGCGCGGTCTAGAGCCGTGCTTAGGCGTGTACACACAGTGAGGAAGCTATGACGCCCCTACGCGACCACCATTTTGAGGGTCAAGGAGTGCCTGTAGAAGAAAAATAGTCTGTTCTCATATGTATAAAAATCCAGTCCTGTGTGCAACTTTCTGAAAAAAGTTGGTGAGTGGTATCAATCTCTTCGTTATGATGTCTAGAATCAGAATTTGGATGGTGATAACCTTGAAAATCGTGCAGAAAGCGCCCAAAGCGCAAAAACAAAATGGCGGCTCGGTAGCTCTTATTTTTAAAAATTCCTCATTATGGCATGTGAGGTATCGATACCTATGTTTTTTGGGTCGTAAAATCCGAATATGATGTTTAAAATACCCTCCGATCAAAAGAAATGTTGCAAATCCAACATGGCGGCTGAAAATACCCACCCGGCGCGAAAATCGCTCAGTTCTCATTTGGCCGTCCAGTAAGGCGGCCAATGATTGTATTGTGTGGTCGAAGGTTTCAAAACAGAGTTACAACTCACTGTACGGCCCATAAAAAAACCCCAAAATCCAATATGGCGGCCAAAATGGCCGCCGATCGAAACCTGTTTTTTTATTATCGGCGCATGGCGTCGAGTAAGGTATCGTTTCTGATGTATTTTGGGTCGCACATTACGAATATGAAGTCAAAAATTACTCTTGGCCAATATTGAAGCTCGTAAATTCAACATGGCGGCTAAAATGGCAGGCATGGATAGAATAAAAGCACTTATATACAGCAGTAATCCTGATTTAATACATTTTTGGGGCCTCTTATACCAAATTTAAAGTTCAGATCCATCCGATCACATGTTTACGCCTTTGCCATCCATTTTGACACCATGAATAACTGCTCTTAAAGCAGTCTTGAATCTAGGACGCACTCTGTTAGGCGTGCAAACTAGGTGTAAAGACTGAAAAATCATGTTTTTTCTTCGTTGGATTACACATATTTTACTGGTATGTCTGTAATCGATAATTAGATCTTTCAAGAATCAAACATTCCCCGTTTTTTTCACGTAGAAGAAATGAATTAACCGACAAATAAGAGGAGACATGCGTCTGAATTTTTGAACAATGTTTTCATTATGGTTGTGCGCGCTCTCTGCAGTCTCAACTTTTTCGAGCAGCGTCGAAGCAGTTTGAAGTTTCGTCGATAGGTTTCGTTAACATCGCAAGTTGTGTTTGCGAAGAAATTAATGTGGTTGAATAGTGTGAATGGTAGAACATGTGACCTAACCTCAATATCAGAAGTACTGAAGTGTTTCATTTTTTTATTTTGACGATAAGCACACAGAGATATCACTGCACGATTTCTGCTTTATTGCTTTGCTGCTTGCTTTGCTTCTTGGCATTCGTTGGTAAGCATTTTGTACATTGATTGCACTGCGTGTCTAATAGGAAAGTCTTTTGGTTTGATCAGTGAAGACTCGGACACAGGCCGCGGTCTAAACTTCACATTTCCAGTGATACTTTACATCCAAATGAATGAGAAAGCATAGCTAAGCTTGGTTTTCATAGGCATGCTTTTGGAAATCTTGGTAAATAGTCAGATTTCACGGTTGTTGGATCTGCATGGCAAAATATACTAGATAGTGTGGTGTTTTGCTCCTCTTTAAAAATACTACATCATAATGGCGTAGAAGTGAGTAATAAACTTTAGCCAAGCATTGCAGTTTTATCTAAATATTGCACCATCTGATGCAATCAGTAGATTCGCATGCGTAGTTCATGCACGTGGATGCACCAAGGGAGCGCGCATACGGCCCCGTTAAGTCACTGGAAGAGCAACACTGAGAGCACGCAATTGTTTCCTCAGATCGCCACGCGCAGCTAGCACTAGACGAATGCACCTGAAATCTCAGTGTGATGAGCTGGATAACACGCCCACCTGAGCACTTGCGGGGTGCAAGTGCGCAATTTATGCACTCCACTTCTGGCCGAAAAACAACAAAAGGGAACTTTCGATGTAACCAAGTGCATTCAAGCTGGTATATTTTTTAAAAAAATCTCCTTTATATTCTCCGAAAAAAATTAATGAGGTTAATTATCTAAACCAGACGATTCTTGAATATGGCTGAAAAAAATTTCTTCTTGAAACCAAACAAACTTTTTCCTGATCATAGAGGCCATGTTGCTCTGCGACTGTTAAAATCAAGAAAAAAGTCTGCTTGGTTCAAGCATGGAAATCTTTACAGTAAAATTCAACAATTGTATAAGTTAAACTCTCTCTCCCTTTCAAACATGTTTTTAGGGAAAATGCCCAGCTTGAACCGCCGGCCGCTGATTTTTTTTTTTTTTTTAAACCAGGAAAGGAAAGGAGCACGGATATTAAGTGTTAAAACATTATCAAAGCTTACGGTTCCTTTTTCACTTACACTTTTTTTTTCTTTTAACTAAAATCAAGCGTGTTCAGAAGGAAATAGCATACATTTTATGGGCTGATCTATGCAGGCAAATCCAGATGCATCCCTCTCCTTCTTTTCTCATGTTTTCATTTCAAGATTCAAAATTGTCTAACTTCTGAACTGATGAAGTTGTGAATTCTCAGTTGAAATATTGTGAGACTCTCATTCCTTCCAAAGTAAAAACTTTTGAAAGTCGATTAAATTGCTGTATTGAAAATTGACTGTTTTTTTGCAGAGTGTACTTAAAAACATTGTGGTAAATTTTACCAGAAGTATGAATAAATTCTATCATTAGTCTATTTGAATTTTGTCACATTGATACTGTACGGTAAAGAAAACCAGACATCTGATAGCATTTATCATATTTTTGGTAAATACGTTTATAGTTACCAACGGTATTTGCTGCCAAAGAGTTTATTCGTAATTATCATACTCATGTCACTATACTTCAAGCTTTAGTCTGGAATCAGGATCTGGCTCAATTCCCTGTAACCCCTTCGCCTATCAATTTAAGATGGCAAAAAGTTGAGGACATATATGAGCCAATAACCTCATTTATTCCTTGCATTCCAGACTTGGTCTGGGAACTTTGCCGATGCAACTGTGTTAAAAAGCGCCGCACTTTACCTTGCGTCTGTAGGTCACAAGGGTTAAAATGCACAGAACTGTGCAAATGTGAGTGTGCTATTGTGACAACATAGAGACCTCCGATGATGAGGGAGAAGATGAAGAGCCCATTGATGAATCCAGCGACAGTTATGATGCGTAAATCAATCAGAGCTCAAGATATTTTCTCTAGAGCTTCTATACTTGAATTGTTAATATATTAAGGAAAAATGGGCAAGGTAACATGGTAATTGGTAAGGTACTAGGGTATTATGGCATGGTAATATGGTGTGGCATGGTAATATGGTAAGGTAATATTGTATGGCATGGTAATATTGTAAGGTAAGACGGTATGGCATGGTAATATGTGAAGGTATTTAATGATTTTTGGTAATTTGAGGCAAAATCTATGTAACACAAATCTTAAATTGAAAATACATTTTTTTAATCATTGAAGGAAATACATTGAAAAACATGTTAAATCTATTTTGCTTATCACTTCTTTTCCCAAACACACATTTAATCTTCTAACATTGTTCAGTCTTACTCGCTGGTCAGGTCCAGTGATACCTTACTCGACGCCATACGCCGATAATAAAAAAACAGGTTTCGGTCGGCGGCCACGGCCATTTTGGCCGCCATATTGGATTTTGGGGGTTTTTTATGGGCCGTACAGTGAGTTGTAACTCTGTTTTGAAACCTGGGACCACACAATACAATCATTGGCCGCCTTACTGGACGGCCAAATGAGAACTGAGCGATTTTCGCGCCGGGTGGGTATTTTCAGCCGCCATGTTGGATTTGCAACATTTCTTTTGATCGGAGGGTATTTTAAACATCATATGCGGGTTTTACGACCCAAAGAACATAGGAATCGATACCTCACATGCCATAATACGGATTTTTTAAAAATAAGAGCTACCGAGCCGCCGCCATTTTGTTTTTGCGCTTTGGGCGCTTTCTGCACGATTTTCAAGGTTATCACCATCCAAATTTTGATTCTAGACATCATAACGAAGAGATTGATACCACTCACCAACTTTTTTCAGAAAGTTGCACACGGATGTACATAATATGAGAACAGACGAAAGCATAAGAAACCTTTTTGTGCAAAATTTGATGAGGAATATATTTTAAACTGAACGCAACTCGCCATCTCCAACCGTCCTCGAGGTACAGCCAAAAAATCGATTTTCTAGCCTTTTGGGGTGGGAGGGGGGGGGGCTAAGCACAAGGGATATCAATGGGGACTTTTACCCTGTGCCTCTCTAGACCCTAACAAGCAACTGTAGCCAAAAATCGCCTGTATGGAAATATTTTCCTCTAATTTTCCTAATTTGACTGGACTATTTTGTGGGAAACGTATTGGCTCTTCCCATCTTTTTCTTTTTGCGTAAATTAGTTTCAGTATTTTTAGTCAGAAAGTTCTGAAATCCTCAAAGTGTTATTTTTTTAAAAACACATTTTAGTATTATAGCTGTAAGCTGTTTTACTAGCTCAACCATGCTGTTCAAATAGCTCTGCTTCATCGTTATAATTTATTTTATCCTAGGTCGGCGCTGCACTGAGGCCAGCTTTTGCAGCCGATACCTCTAGCCATGTAACAGCCACTGCCTGCGAAGTTTGCAGTGCCTGGATTGGCAGTGGAACAGTCCGAGATTTAAGTGATCTGCGCCGCGTTCATCAACTGTTAGTATCCTCTTTAGCTAAATTAAATCGTCCATCTCATGCGCTCTACAATGAGGCTCTCGCAACTCTCGAAAGGTTGGCCATTCTGAAGGCATGGGCTCAGGTATGTTGTATTCTGGTTTCGTTACTTCCGGGTCCAGGTGAGAAACTTGAGTTCGGAGAGTTTAGAAGCATTTGAATCCCACTCTTCAGCAATGTATAGAGTTATTTGATTGCAATGGCTAAGTTATTAAAAAAGCATTTGGTGTATGATAAATTGTATGAAAGGACGTTCTCGAATGTGGACAAGGTTCCGGGTTCAATCCTTTGAGGTAACTAGTCATTGTGGCCGCAGATGACTGTACCATGACCCTTTGTCGTAACAGGGTGTGGGAGGGACACAGTCAGGTAGTAAGTAATCAGTTTGCACTGTTTGACTGGGTCATGAAAAAATCGATGATCACCCAAAGTGTGCACAATTGCCATTGCTACCGATCCATGGAGACTGAAGCAACTAAGCCCACCTGGGTGGAGGCATGACTAGAGATTGGAAAATTTCGCTGGTATTTTTTCCCAATTTCGCTGTCATTTGTCCCGAATTTCGCTGTTATTTTGCTGATTTCGCCGTTATTTTTGCATTGCTTTTACATTTGACAGCTTAAAATAAAGCTTTTACTTTGATTTAACGACCCGTCCCTCAGTCTTTTTCTCTCTCTCTCCAGTCCTATTTTACATAAGCACTTTAATACTAATATAATTTTTTCTTTATAAAAAAATATCTGTTGCTAACTTTGTAATTTCTTTATTCTGAATACAAGCTGGGCAAATTTTGTCTTACATGCGTATACACATAAATTTCACGAAAATGTGCGAATTTCACCGATTTCGCGGATAAGTATGGATGATTTCGCATATTCCGCGCGATTTCGCGTTAAATCTGGAAAATGGCCGATTCTGCGTTATTTCGCTCTATAATTTCGTGATCAGGGGGTCATAATCGGTGCTTTTGTCTGGTATTTAGATTCCTAAGCACATTTTGAAAATTTCGCGGCGGCGAAATTTACCAATCTCTAGGCATGACCGTGCTCCAAAAGTCCGTGCTTGGTAGTGTTTGCCACAGTCGTTGATACAACTTATCGTTGACATAATAGACGGCTGCTGAGCCTCATGGAAATATGATGAGTGTATCATGAGATTGAGTTCAGGAGCAGGATGGCAGAGTTTCTGCCTGTGCCTTGACCCCTTTAAGGGGCCTAGCCGGTCAGCCCTGGCCTCCTCCTTCAGAAGATTGATATCACTCACAGCTTTCTCCCTGAAATCAGAAATTATGAATAACTAGGGGGCTGCACTCCCTGACCGATCCTCGAGGTTGCTCTTATGATTTTCTTTATGTAGTAAGATAGGTGTTACACTAAAATGGTCATGCAAACGTTCAAAATGTGCTTTAATGGGTGAATATTTTTTTTGAGTAAACAATGTATACTGTTAAACACAATCTATACTCCATCAGACGCCATATAGGCAATTTACTCATCAGATAGTGTGAGTACTGGTGTAACCCTAGAGCAAATGTTAAAGATGCTCCATATGGTACATGCGGGCTAAGCGGATATTGTATTCAATAATTCGAATCAGAGTTTTCATCGTTCCGGAAATGTGTCAACATCAGGTGCCAGGCCTATTCTTGAAAAGAACGGCTCAGATTACTAAGTATGTGCTCTTCAGGAACTGGATAACTTTACAGGATCGGACAGTATTTTCAACGGTTGAGACACTAAAGTCAAACATGATAAGAAAGCAATGTATCTTGCTAAGGAATTGAAAAGTTTAGTTAGTTAGGTAGTCAAATAGGAATAGTTTTTGCTGATAAAGCTGCAAGTGCTTCGATTTGAAAGAAAAGGTAAAAATGACTGCATGTACACTAATTTTGTGTAATTATGAATAAGAGGATACTGATATTCGTGAATATTGCAGGCTAATATTTTGTTGAAATTACCTTCACTGCGTTGATTTTTTTTTGTCAAAATTACTTTAGCCACAAAAGTTTCCTGAAAACTCTCTAACTGTGCTGTGTAGTAATACGTCAGGAAAATGTGTGTATTTTTGTTGAAAATTTACTCTGATGTATGCAGGTTTCTATGATGATTAGTTTACCATCTTGATCGGTGAAAATTCACATCTTATGGTTTGAATCTTATGCCAGAAGGAGACAAAACAAATTCTGAGAAACAATTCTAAGAAACAGATAAAATGGAAATCCTCTAAGAAAAATGTCCACTTTGTGTACTTTGTATTCAAACGTCTGGTATCTATCTTAGTGATTAGCTTTATTCAGATTTGGTTTGTTTTTGCAGGTTTATATAGTCGCAATGGTAAACAATGGAAGTGCCCCCAGTTTCGGAATAGTGTCTCTAAATGCCTTCAACTCCACGGCGGACTCAACTAAATCGTCTTACAATCAGTTTTTGCCTAGTGGCAATGGCAGTGATGATGAATTTGGGGGCTTTGAGTGCCGAGGGGAAAGTCTGTTAGGTCTTGTACAACCAGAGCTGAAAAGTTTGTCTCAGCACTGGCTTGCTGCTCTGCAAGATTATGCTCTTCTTTCGCTTCCATCAGGTAAAAAATATCTTTATTTTTTAATGCTAGGAAGATTTCTCTTCAATTTAAATATTCTGTGTTCAGTTCAATATTTTAGTTTTGGCATGCTCAGCGGGCTAACTATTGAATTTTATGAACAAAGAAGACATAGGGAGTATAGAGCATTTCTATTAGTTGAAATTGGTGATTCCTATAGACCAAGAGAGAATTTGATGGACTAACTATAGGGTCTCTTGTGGGTTGCTGTTAGTTTTGTTTATTGCAACTACCCACTTCCACCAATAGGATCGTTTTATTTCCCTTTTGTCTTCGTTGTCTATCATTTTGTCTGTCAATTTCAATAATCAGCCTGCAGATGTCTTCGTGTCTATTAAGTCCAAAATTGTGCCAGTGAATGTGAAATGAACAATATCGTAGAACAAGTCAAGAATAAGATTAGGTCAGCTTTTTTTTAAGGGAGGAGGATGTAATCAATGATTATCTAAAAGCATGCACAAGATATTTCGTTTCAAGTCATTGTCTCCAGACAGTATGATGAGGCAAAGTGAACCGAGATTAAGGACATATCATAGACATATGATATGTATATCATATTCATTATGACATAGAATCTGTCATCAGTTAATGATGAAACACCTGCAATAGCTCAGTAACAAGAGTGGTATCGGGAACATTTTAGCATGGTAATATCAATTTTTCTTATTTTAGTTATCGTCTCAAGTCACAGATACCTAGTCAAAGAAGAAATTCATTTTGCAACCGATAAAAATTGGAAGAATCTGAAGTTTTTTTGGGGGGGAGGGGGGTGAATTGGTTAATTTTTCCCCCTGTTTTTAAGTTCAAACTCATGCGGGTAATTCTCTGCTATTTCTAAAATTTCTGCTCGAAATTTTCAAAAAATGAACTCTCAAAGATGCCTCAACAGATGTGTTTTTCTAAAACTTCACATAATTTGGCACTTGGAATCTATGGTTTCCATAAGAAACAGATATTTTGTCTTCTGCCGGGCAGGCAGAAATTTTAAACCGGAATAAAACCTCAACTCTTTCCCTCTGCTTTTTTGTCCTTATTTTGTATAATTATCATCCCAAATTTTTGCCAACTCTGCAGAAATGTGTTGTAATTGCAATGAATCCTCATAAAAAAAGCCCTTAAACTGTCAGGAAATTAATTATCCCTAAAAAACGGCAGATTTTGGGAAGAAAAACTGAAATTTATCAAAAATTCTTCCTGCCCGTTTCTCTATTACCTCGGTGGATTTTTGTATTGAACACATATATCTTTTTTTTAGGTGTTACATCAATATAAGTTGTAAAAAATCTGTTTTTGCGCCAGAGAAACTCATAGGTATTTCTTTCAAAACTAATCCATAGCAAAACGGGGGCAGAGTTGAGAGAAAATGGGTGAGGTAGAGAGATTGATGTGACAGAGAGAGTGTTTGAGGGAATATCGGGGGGAGGAGAGGGGGTCAGGGAGAGGAGTGACGGGGAGGTACAGGGGGAGAGACAGACAAACACACAGGCATAAGTGATCTCACACTAACAATCAGTTTGTCTGTATGTCTACCTTTATCTCCCCCTCTTTCCCTCTCTGAAAATTCAGAGAAATGGAGGGTTTTAGTTTGGTAATTAGTTAGTCAGTTGGTAATGGCAGCATAAACTATTTTTGTCAATAAGGACTCTCAAGACTTTTCAAGCACAATTAAGTCCCACTTCCTCAATTCTGTCCCGTCATAAAATGTTGCACTTAGGAGACTGAGTTAAGAAAATGGAGGCAGAGTCGTAAAGTCTGCATGTTTTGGTGGAAGAAAAAATTTGAAGTTATGTTTACCGCCAAAACAGAACGTACTCCTTGATTAGGACTAAGTAGTACGTTGAATATGTAAAAATAGTTGAATTTTGTTGAAGTTTGCCTATAAATGATGCAGGGACAGAGTTGAGCCGTTTCAGGATGATTTTAAAGGTCAAATTTATAAAGAATACCTTACAATATTTTGTCGGTTTTCGCAACAGTGGCACATATTGAGTGCAGTTAGAGCATAACCTTGAGTAACAACTTGTTTCTTCAAACAGCCTCTCTGGTGCCTCTATGAAGCATAAAGTAGGCGGACAGAGTTGAGGTGAAAACCTTGTGACAAGCCCTCTGCCTCGCCGCCAGGGCCGGATTTACCCATAGGGCACTGGGGCGCATGCCCATAGCGGCAAATTTTGTGGGGCGGCAAATTTTGGCGATGGGCAAATTTTGGCACTGGATTAATTGAAAGTTAAAGCGAGAAATAAGAGAAAAATGGAGACAGAGACGGAGCGAAGTGAAAAGATGAGTGACAAAATGTATGAAGGAAGGGAGTTGACGGGAGCGGCAAAGCTGTCGCTCTCTAGGTCCGGCCTCGAGCGCTAGGGTGATCGTTTGTTGGAGTGATCCCAAGAGAAACTAAACAACACGGCAATTTTTAACATCGAGGCAGACTTGACAATCAATTTAGACGTTGATGCTCTGGTTGACAGCTTTGCTAAACTGAAAACCCGGAGAAAAACCTTTGAACCTGATCTTCCGAAAATACACTGTAAGTAATACATTGAGCTACACTAGCTTCAACTTCGTCTTCACATTTTATTTTTGCCTCATCCATCCATTCCATTTTATATATTCGTGGCGCATTTTGAAGCAGCTACGCGCATGCGCCCACGTGGCGCACGAGGGGGGGGGGGGCAAGATGAGACTGATGGCGTGGGAAGTTGGGAGTGCGGGGAGGGGGGGATACTGTTGACAATGTAGTGGCGAAGTATTGCAGACCCAGGGGCGACAAAATGTGGCTTGCCCAGGGGCGGCAAAAAGCTAAATCCGGCCCTACTCGCCGCACGACAGGAATCTTAGTACGAGAAACAGAATTAAAGAAATGAAGAGTAGAAGGTCCATACATTCTGAAAATGTCAAGTTTAAGTAGTTAGCTTCGGTTGCTAGTACCCTTCAGCCGTTTGAATTGCGGAACCTCAGTTGTGTGACAGGGACAGAGTTGAGATTTTTTGCCCCTCTCTGCCTGCTAGGAAACAGAGGTTTAGTTCTATGAAGTTTTCTGAGTATGCGTCTGACGCAGAAACTTATTCTGCATCAAAAATAATTTACCTGAACTCTGTTGAATGATATGTATGTCAGAAAAGCCCTTGTGACAGGAATAGTAGAAATGTCAGAGAATTACTAATGTAAATTCAAAAATTGAAACAAGAAGAAAGTCGCGAGTGCGCATGCTTGGCACCGCTGTAGCGGCTTGGCATCGCCGCGTTTACGCCGGCGAGCAAAGGAGGAAAAATAATATTTCGACACTTGGCGTCCGCTCGAATACTGCGACGCGCCAACAGGGAGCGCTGCGGCGAATCTGATCATTTTTAAGTATTTTGCATTTTTTTTTAAACTTTAATCCTTTTTTATTGGAATTCCAATTGTATGAATCGCCAAACCAAATTAGGCCAAGGGCAGTGATGTAAATTTGAGATTTTTTGTGTTAATGTTCATCTTTGCAACGGTGAACGAAACTCGAGCACGTAGTTTTTTTTTGGAGTTGCAAATCGGTGACCTCCCAACCAGACCCGAAATTCGAGGGGGGGGAGGATTTTCCGATCCAGCAGACAGTCAAGCAAAGAAAACAGTGCGTCGGTCGAGGTGCAGCGGGGTGAGTTCGCATTTCTCTTTGGGTTCTTATAAGGTAAGCGCAGACCCAAGAATTCTGAAGCGTTTAGTTTTAATTATTGGAGATGAATATTTACTATTTATTCTTACAGTGAACCCCCTCAAGTTTTGGTCAGACAGTTAGAAAACTGGTAAGGATTAATTTGTATGTCTGGAAAATGTTGCCGAATCTCATCGTAATTTTCTAATTAAATACATCTCTGTAAATTTGGGAGAACGCTTTCGACTTTTTAAGAAGTAGTGATGCGCGGTCTAAGCAGCATCAAACCTAGCTTTGCGAAAATTCCCTTTCCCTTTGATTTTTCTAATTTTTGGTCTCTCTCTCTCTCTCTCTCTCAGTTTCAATTTTCCCTCCCTATATTTTTTCTTTATGACGCCGGAATCCAGGCTTCCCACTGCAGGCCATCAGGCACCGTTAAAGTAGGGACGGCGGATCTTTTTCCGCGGTTCTCTTGTTGTGGCCCCAAAAACCTGACTCAGCGTTTTGCGCTGGAACAGGGAGATTCGCCCCGTTACAGGGGTGAGGCTGTTTCAGGCTCTTCTAGTTGTATCCAAATGGGTTTGCTTGCCCTGCAATCCTCTAAGTGTGAATCCTATCTACCAAGTTAATAAGAGAGAATAGTTTTTAGCAGTTTTATTCCTTGTAAAGGATATCTGTTTCTAAGTGACAGATAAAATTACAGACCTCTTATCCTGGATCATTTGGTCAAGAGACGGGGTATGCAGATTTATTGGATTTTGGACAAAAAAGTAGCGATAAGTTCCTCAACGAGGTGAAGGTGGAGATGTCAAAGCAAGTAATTAGGTACATTTTGATCAGAATCAAATTTTCACTGGAGCCTGGTTTCTTTTGAAGACATTCCACTTTCTATTTTTCTTGCAACCAGAATACAATGAAAAGTTAATAGACAGCCAGCTGACAGTATTTTTGCGTTTGGAAATATTTCATCAGTGCAAGAGTTTTTTTGAAAAAAAAAAAAACAAACAAACAAACAAACCATGGAAACTACCATGAAATGACATCTATCATACCATTTGGATAAAAATGCTGGGAATCTGAAATGAAATGTGATGTAATAAAGGGTACAATAATGCATCGGAGTGACCAAGTTTGCAGTGAAGTTAGAAAATTGTTGCAATTTTACAGGAGCGCAGAAATATTTCCTTCAAAACTCACCTCTGAATTTTCAAACTAGTTATCTCATTAAGGAGGAGTCAGTCTTAATTTTCCACATGTACTCTTTCTGGGGAATTTTTCAAGGAAATAATATAGGTACTTACAAGGGGAGCTTCCCAAGTGTAACCGGAATTTCGAGTTGAAATTTCGCATGAAAATACTAGAGATGATTTTACAGATGCCGTATTTTTTCGTTTTTTCGAATGGGGTTGGGAAAGCCCTGAAAAATAACGCGAAAGATGCGGAAAAAACGCGTGCGCTATGCGAGTGGAGCCGCCTGTGCGGGCGGCTTCCAGCGGCACAAGGTAGACATAGGTGACAGAAGCGGATCTTTCTAAACAGCACCCCATCGTCAATCAATAGCGTGCTCGCTTCGTAAGCGGGATGTCCCTGAATCGTATTCCGACATCTAGCCGTAATTTTCATCTTACTTTATGCTTGTTTATTTTTCACTTACTTTCTTTTTTGCACCATTCTCTCTGCCACCCGACTTACGAGGTAGAATACGTTGTGACTGAAGATTTTTTACATATGAGGACTTATATGTAACAATAGCGGTCGCTGTGGTTCTATATGATAAAAAAACACCTTACACACAGCCAAGAGGATTTTGAGAAAAAAAAAATTTCAACCCGGTGCGCACAGAGCCTAAACATCGAGATTTTACCGGTTTTTCGGGCATTTTCGCCATATATTTTTGATATTTTAGCCAGCAACACGGAATTTAAAGCGAGATGTCCAAAAATTGGTACAAACCTAGCACATACCTTGCAAATTGAGGGAAAATGTTTGTTTTTCTCTTAGGTCACTCTCACTTCGCTCGGTAATGCCCAAACTCTCCGCTCGGCAGCTCTAAAAATCGAAATTTTGCCGTTTTTTAACGTTTAATGAACTTTTTGAGCAGCCTATAATGGTAGTGAAAATTCGAAAATTTGTGGAAAGCAAGACTATACCATCAGTATGGAAGGGCAAATGTCAGAAAACTCCTAGGTCTTTTATTTTTTGCCAAGCTATGCCCATAATGGTGGAAAACCCAATTTTTACCGTTTTTTCGCGTTCGAAAATTTATTGGACGCCCTGTAATGACAATGAAGGTCCGAAAATTTGTGGAAAGTAAGTTCATACCGTCTGTATGGAATGAAAAGTTTTACTTGGTTCCTACGTCTTATATTCTTCGTCCAACGATACCCGAAATGGCAGCAAAAACGTCAAAAATACCTCAAATTGGCCGTTTTTGGAGAATTTTTTTGAACACCTTGTAGTGGCAGTGGAGGTTCGAGAATTTGTGCAAAGTAAGTTCATACTCTCCGCAAGGAATAAAAAAATCTACTTGGTTCCCATGTCTTACATTCCTCATTGTGCGGTGCCCACAATCACTTCGAATACGTCAAAAATACCTCAATTCGTCCGTTTCTTCAATGGCGAAATTTATTAGACACCCCGTAATGACACTGGAAGTTCGAAAATGGGTGAAAAGCAAGTCCATACCACCAGTATGGAAGGGCTTTCAAAAGATCCATAGATGTTTGATTGTTTGTCGCACGGTGTCTTCAGATGTACAAAAATCATGAAAAATACCTCCTTTTTGACCGGTCTTTCGCTATTAAAATTTAATAGACACTCTGTAGTGACAGTGGAGGTCAAAAACTTTGCTAAAAGTTAGTTCATTCCATCTTCATGCAATAATAAATTCTACTTCGTTCCTATGTTCTGCATTCCCCGTTGTGCGGTGCTCGCAATCGTATCGGGAACGTCAAGTATACCTGAATTCGGCCAATTTTTCGTGTGAGAAATTTTTTTCGCCCCTGTTATGACATCGGCGACTCTTATAAGTGCAAGCAAATATATGTTGTACTTCACTAAGGAACGGCAATTTTTCTAAGACCCTTACATTTTTAATTGTTGTCGCTAGACGCCCTAAAGTCTTAAAAGTCTTAGAGGGTATTTTATTTTATACATAAATTTGAAGTATTTTTTACGTTTTTGCTGCCATTTCGAGTATCGCAGGACGAAGAATGTAAAACGTAGGAACCAAGTAAAATTTTTTATTCCGTACAAACGGTATGAACTTGTAGTGACAGTGGAGGTCGAAAACTTTGCTAAAAGTTAGTTTATTCCATCTTCATGCAATAATAAATTCTACTTTGTTCCTATGTTATGCATTCCTCGTCGTGCGGTGCCCACAATCGCATCAGAGACGTCATCAAATATATCTGAATGTGGCCAATTTTTCGTGCGTGAAATTTCTTTGGCATCCTGTTACATATGACACCAGCGACTCTTGTAAGTGCCAAGCGAATATATGCTCTACATCAGAACGGAACGGCAATTTTTCAAAGACCCTTATATTTTTTATTGTTGTAGCCAGACGCCCTAGAGTGAAGCGAAAACTTTAAAAATACCTAAATTTATCCGTTTCTTTCTTTCAATGCTAGCTTCTTAAATTGTTTCGGACCTCCACTGTCAGTATAGGGTGTCTGCAAAAATAATTCGGAAAAAAATGTTGTGAATTCCTCGTTGTGCGGTGCCCGCAATCCCATCGGAAACGTCAAATATACTTGAATTCCGCAAAATTTTTTTCCGATGTTCAGGCTCTGTGCGCTCCAGGTTAAAAAATTTTTTTCTCAAAATCCTTTTGGCTACCGTGTTTTTTTATCACATAGAACCATTTAAGACCGTGCAACATTTGGTTTTGACGATCTAAGAAAATAAGTCCCACTCTACCCAACCCCCAACCTGGAGGGCCAGGGTTTGATTTCGGAGTTGCCTCTCATTGCCATGTTGCTTTCACCACAGCTAAGAGCCGTGTCTACTCACTCCCTTTGAGGCAGGGGCTACCAGCTGGGGTCCGCAGGATTGCTAGACCTGCTCACAGCTTTGTATTACTCATAAAAAAAAGTTATCAGATAGAAAATGTCAGGTATTTCGGCTCTTTTTTGATGAGTTCTGTTCAAATTACATTCTTTTTCATCATTCTGAAATTTTTACTCTCTGTTACCATGATCTTAGAATTTTCAAGCCAATTACCTCATGAAGGAGGAGCTTTCTACACAACAGACACAATGGAAAGCTGCAAAACACATTATTCAGCATCTTGGCCACCCATCCTTCACGCTGCTGCGCTGTGGCTGAACTCAGTAGAATTCAATGTCAGCAATAATGATTTTAAGTCGAGCAGTATGGATGTTTTCATTTTATTATTTGGTAAGTTGAATGTCACCGCAAATCTAAGCCGAATTCTTGGAATTTGGAAGATTATGCACTATGAAGCATCATTGAATTGTTTGAGTATACTAAAATGGTTTGTTTATTGCTAATGAGACACATTTTTTATGTTAACCTTTAAGCACAATAATCTTTTCTGCAGTTAAAATTTGAATCCTTAAAAAGAACAAAAATATTCCAAAAACTGAATGAAAAAAAACTAATAGAACTCCAAACGGATAGGTTGACAGTTTTTTGCTTTCCAAAATCCTGCACAATGGACCGCTCAGCAAGGTTCGAATTGAGACATTTTGATGTATTTTCTTTAATAAACACGTAGAGAACGATTTGCAAAATGCAAATTACTGAAATCAGCTCCCAACCAAGGTATTAATGTTTTTATTTAGCATTGGATATCAAGAATGTGAATTTCCTGCTCACAAGGAAAACAAGAGTCTCCTGCAATCCAATCGCGCACTACAATGGTTTGGGTAGACTTATCAATCAAGCAGTGTTCCTTCCCCAACCTGTGATTTTCAAAGTGTGAACAATGTACAACAGCTGAGCTAAATCACCGATATTGAAGTTGTCATATTCACATGCTGCAAAGACTGTTACGGCAACGTTCAGTGTATGATTTAACTCAGTTAGATTGTTTTCTCTTTGAGCGAGAAATTTTAATTCATGCATGGAAAAAGTCAACATCTTTGTTGGGAGTTACTTCCGGTAATTTATGTTGTACATATTTTATTCTATGTGAGCTTTTGAAGGAGATACGTATATCAGAAGTAGCAGTGATTAGCTCGCTTTGCAAGGTGTCTTGCCTAACCGGGGAGTGCCCCTGGAACCCGAGCTCCTCGCTTTGCGATGAACTTGCGACTCACTCAGCAAGCCGCCCCTCATAGCTTTTAACTTTAATGAAAAGACAACATCTTTTTTTTCATCGAATTGCACAAAAATTCGTGATGCTGAAGCAGAGAAAGAATTTTAAGCCACGGTCGCCATCTCAGATTTCGGGATTTTAAAAAATTCGAGTGTCTTGTCAAAAAATATCTCCTCACACCGAGTGTTACAAAAATTGATGGAGCAGTAGCCGAGACAGCAATTTAGTCAACATCCGACATCTTAAATGTTGAAAATCTGATTAAAAATTTGAGTTTCCCGTTGAAAATACCCCCTAATTCCGAGTTTCATAAAAATCCATCGAACAAGAGGCGACACAGCATTTTAAACCACGGCCGCCATCTTGGATTTTGAAATTTTGAAAATCTGACCAAAAATTTGAGCTTCTCGTCAAAAAGAACCCCTTTATACAGAGTCTCACGAAAATTGATCGAAAATAAAGGAGTAAGAAAAAAGAGAGGAAGTCAAATAAACATACGACCAATGAGGCGAATGACCTATAAGATGGAACATAAACATACAGTCAAAATGGAAGACAGATTTGAGGAGATACTTAGGTGCAGGCAGACCAACACTTTGTACGTGAAAGGAGTAAGGGGATGGAAAAGTTCGCGAGGTAGGCACACAGTTTAAAGATCGAACGCGATGGAGGCACGCAACACAGAACACACGGTGGCCCTGCTGTGACGTCATGCGACAAAATGGCTTCGGCCAATTTTTTTTATCCAGGGGAAGCAGAGTGAATGGTAACAGCAGCTATATAGAGTAAAATGCTAAAATTTGTACCTTGTCTAGTGGTTCGTTGAACAACTCTCGTAACTACGTAGAGGCAAAATAGAATATAAGTGGATATGTGTAACTTTGGGGAAGGAGATATATGATTATGTAGTTTCATCATTAGTTTCCTTTTTCACACTTAACTGCAGGGCTGTAACTTATTTCGTTATGACCTTGATTTTGTAGGAATTAGTATAGAAGCGTTATGCAGTCCTAGGCTCTCTGAATCCGAAGAAAATGTATTATCTTGTTTACACTCTCTGTACACAATTTTAAACTGCCCAACACCTCGTCAAATGTTAATGAGTGATGCTTCCTTATCAATTGAATTGTGTAATGTTTTCTTAAGGTGAGTGCCTCTTTTCCACTAATTTATAATTTTCCTACTCTGTTAGGGCTCAGAAAGCTTTTTAACTAAATTTGTAAAGGATGTTGTAGAAAAACTTCCTTCTTTTTCGTATTAAATAGTTTAAAAATCCCTCCAACGTAAAAATAAGTGTTCCTAAATTTGGAAGAATTTTTAAAGTTAAGATAAGAGCTGTAATTATTACAAGAGGAAGTTTTTCCAAATTTTTCTTGTTGAGTGCTACTTGCAATCTGGAATTCCTAACCGACATTTTCTCTACCCAGATAACCATAATATTGCAGGAATCAATATGGTAAAACCCCAATCAAACAAACTTCAGTATATCTATATTTTCAACGTCCGACAACTTTTGTGGGTGCCGCCAAAATCTCTGCACTTTCTCGGGTTGTGATTAGTAATTGCATGACATATCTTTCATCTGTGAGATTACAATTTGATCTGTTTTTGGGGAGAACATCTGAAAATTACTCCTTGGATGACTTGAGTTTTCCAAAAAATTTTGGGGGAGGTCCCATAGATTCCCTCTTTGGAACTACATCAATCCTCCGAACCCTTCTTCAGAGAAAGAGGAGTCCCACAAACCCCCCCTGCAGGTGGGGTATCTTTTAGTTCCCCTCAGATCCCCCTTGACTTAGTGCCCATCTGCTCCCTCCCACTAAAAAGTTCCCAGCTCTGCCCATTCTGATGCCTGAGAGTTGTGTGATGGCAGCAGTAAAATGTGAAAAGATCTCACAATCTATGAGAAATCTTTTACTGCTAAAAATTTGGGCACAAAGCAGTTGATGAAAGAACTAACAGGAACCGTTAGTCAATCACAGGCTACATCTAGAGTAGCTTGATAGAGAGAGTATCGCCTTGTGACTATGGCTTTCCTCCATCTTGAGCTTCATGGAACTCTTAAGACCCTAAAATGGCGGATGCTGTTAATAAATGTAAAAACACAATGGCTTAAAATTTATTTTTATTTGCATATTGCTATAAGAACTTTACTCAAATGCATTATTACGACGTATTTAGTTTGTTTTATGGTTAATCATGTGCTATTCTCGAGAAAAATGATCTTTGACACAGTTTGGTTGGCAGCATGTGCAGTTGGTGACTATCAAAAGTTGGCCATTACCGGCTCTCCTATCATCAAAAACCAAAGCAAAGCACTGCCTTTTTTGGGTCCTAAGGTCTCCCATGGAAAGTGGAGGGGCGAGATGTCCATACTCTCTATCAAGTTACTTTAGCTACCTCTATCCTGTTACTCAAGGCTCTGGTACCTGTGCAGCCTATGGTTTGAATTATGGCTCTTATTTTTACCCTGAGCATTTTTGAACTTTGAGCAACCTCTTTCCAATCTTGTCTCTTTATTATACAAATTTTAATCTTAATCCCTTGTTCCTTTCCATTTTTAGGTTACTATTGTCTAGATATGAAGAACCAACACAAAAATTAGTAATAGCTGTAATAAAACAAATTGTTCATGCTGCTCAAGAAAATCTAGATCAAGAAAAACAATCCAAGATCAAAGGTATTGACTCACCAGAGCTGTGATTATAGTAAATTTTGAAAGTGAATGGTCAAATATTCACTATTATGAATACATTTAAATTAATTCAGATGCTTTTTTTAAATGCAAAAAGTGCTAAGGTGTACAGAAAGGACTAATGATTTACAATCATGTCTGATTTCGTCTGTATCTATACTACGAGGGGCGATCAAAAAGTAAGTTTGAACCCCCTCTAAAATCCACAAAATTGGACCAAAGAGGTTGTCCCATTTTCCATAGGCAATGGCCTCAAGAGCTTTTCCATCCATACTTTCAGGAATCATGACGTATCATCGGAGAAGCCTAAATCCGGTGTCATTTCTCGTCTAGCCCCCCAGGGGGAGGGGGTCAAAGGTCAAACGCTCCAACCGCCATAACTTTTGAACGAATCGTCGGATCAACTTGATCTTGGGCTCAAATGAAAGCTCTTAACAAGACCTTTCATTTGATGTATAGTAGTGTCTATTTTTGGTAATTTTTCAACGTAAAAAAATCATTTTTTGATTTTTCAAGCGTTTTCTCAAATTCGAAACGCATGAAAACCGATTTAAATAAAAGTCCTTGATTCAAGCTTTAAAACGAGCTATCGTTGAACTTGGGGAAATGAATGGTTCAAAAGTTATGACCATTCAGAGTTGGCGTGGCGCGCTATTTTCGAAGCGCGCGGAGTGTATACTCGCGTGCCACCCCTCCCAACCTTTCCCCCTGGGGCCTGCTTCAGTTGATAACGGATGTAGAAAGATTCAAAGCTCCTTCCACCTAAAGAATGACCAGTCATTAGTGTTAAGTCACTTTTATTTCTAACGAAAAAAGGGAAATAAAAATAAATTAAATGCTAATAAACGATAAGACGCTGGCATGCATTATTTTTTCGCCCCCCCTCCATGATTTAATATTTAATAGCCAGATCAAGCTTCTTTTACCACAAAATACACTCAAAAGCTGTAGATGATATTCATAGGGTGTGGTACGCAACTAGCCGACCAGCACTTGAACGCGCATTTACTACTGAATATCTCTCCCTCACCTCTCCCCGATCTATTTCCCTCTCATCAAGATTTACCTGCACGGGAATAATCAGATACAGTAATGATGAGAGGCTTGATTTGGCTACATCAAATATTGAATCATGGAGGGTGGGCGAAAAAATAATGGATGCCAGCGTCTTATCGTTTATTAGCATTTAATTTATTTTTATTTCCCTCTTTTTGTTAGAAATAAAAGTAACTTAACACTAATGACTGGTCATTCTTTAGGTGGAGGAAACTTTGGACCTTTTTGTATCCATCGTCAGCTGAAGTGGTCACCGGGGGGAAAAGGTAGGAAGGGGTGGCACGCAAGTATACACTCTGCGCGCTTCGAAAATAGCGCGCCACGCCAGCTTTAAACGGTCATAACTTTTGAACCATTTGTTTCCCCAAGTTGAACTATAGCTCGTTTTAAAGCTTGAATCAAGGACTTTTATTTAAATTGGTTTTTGTAATTATTCATGCGTTCCGAATTTGAGAAAACCCCGAAAAACTGAATTTTTTGGGCTTGAAAAATCAAAAAATGATTTTTTTACGTTGAAAAATTACCAAAAATAGACACTACTATACATCAAATGAAAGGTCTTGTTAAGAGCTTTCATTTGAACCCAAGATCAAGTCGATCCGACGATTCGTTCAAAAGTTATAGCGGTCGGAGCGTTTGACCTTTGACCCCCTCCCCCTGGGAGCCTAGACGAGAAATGACACCGGATTTAGGCTTCTCCGATGATACGTTATGATTCCTGAAAGTATGGATGGAAAAGCTCTTGAGGCCATTTCCTATGGAAAATGGGACAACCTCTTTAACAAACTTGGGCTTAAAATCTTTGTTAGGATATACTGAGTCTAAAAATCAAAAGTTGGAAGTAATCGGATAGGATGCGACCGCACGCCAGCCGCGGATTTGTGCCACGCCGTGAACTGCTCCCGCCACCTCAACTCTTATTTGAATCGTTAGCACGTAGTCCGGCCGATGTTGGGGGCTTTCTCCGTGAGAGGGACACTCGCGATGTTATGATAGTAAGATAATAGCGATTAAAAGTAGTATGATAACATAGAAAATTCTATGATAACGAAGTTGGCGGATACTTCTGAATGCTCGCCTCATGAGTTTCCACTAACTCCCAAATTGGCTACCCCGCGCCTGGACGGAATCGCCGCTTGTGCGGGCAGAGTTGAAACAGGTACGGGGGTTAGGATGGAGCGTTTTTGGGCTTTTTTTTTATTTTGAAAATGGACATAGCACAGTGGTTGCGAAATGGTCTAGAAATAACGCCTGAATTTTCCTGAATTTTTTCGTCAACGTTTAGGCCTCCCGGATTGACGTTGACGTCAAAATTAGCGGAAAATCCAGGTTTTTTGACGATAACTCGGCAACATTGGCAAACACGATAAAAATGCATAGAATCAAAGGTGTTGGAAATTAAATTTCCAACAAATCATTTTCTTATCGTTTTTTCTGTAAGTGCAACCGTTTTAGTGTAAAATTCGATAACCCGTATTTTTCCGGAAATTTGGCACAAATTCTCGTTCAGTCCGGGAGAAAGAGGGCTAACTCGGAACAAATTGCGTGATAGACTTTTCCTACAAGAATACCATCATTGGATCGCCTGAATAACACAAAACAAACAAAACGTTTTCCACGGCTCCACCGCGGAACTCCTCTTAAAATGCCTAAAATGCAAAAAGGCGGCCGTGTTTAGATTATCAAGCATGAAGTTAATTTAAAATGTGCATCTCTTGTGGTATAAGGTGTCATTTCCTATGTCTTTTTAGTCGTAAATTTCAAATATAGTTTCAAAAGAAAGCCCCTGGTCGAACGGGGTGCATCAAATCCAGGATGGCGGCCAACTTTGAACGGCAGGAGGGTATGTTTGTCCCATATTCCCTCACATTCCCCCCTGATAGTTTGTCCTAGTACCATACTTCTTTGCGTGATAAGTCAAGTGAGGTATTAGTTCCTTATAGAATACCGACGGCGAAATTCCCAAACCGGGTATCTTGTTTGCAATATTTGAAAATTCCAAGAATTCTGCAACATCGCAAACCGATACATGCCTTGGTTGTTTCATCGTCATTTTGGGTCGTAGATTTCCAGTATGACGTGATGAATACCACCTGGTTAATCGGGCTGCCCAAACTCTAAAAAGACTGATAAGTTTGAAAGGTAGGAGGACTGAAGGAAGTTAAATAATGTCGTAATGAGTGAAGTGAAGTATTATTCCCTGAGTAATTTTGGTAAAATGTGAAGTAAAAATTAAGCGGAAAATGAATGGTCAAACAGGGCGTCTCAAATCCACGATGACTGCCTGTAAAATGCAGTAGCGTTAACCGGAGGTGTAGGTATAATGCTGAAAGGCATTATCTGATCGGTGTTTGCATGCAACATAGTTCCTTTTAGCATTACATCTTATTTTAAAATATGCTTTTATTATACATCTTCGAAAATAAGGGTCCGATTTCCGTGTTAGTAATATCCGCGTTTAAAATCCTTTCATTCCCCCCGAGAACCAAGATTCTTTTTATTCAAAATGTTATTAAAGCAAATCAGGTCACGCGAGAATCATGGCGAAAAAAAAAAAAAAAAAAAAAAATCAATTTTCTTTAAAATCAAAAGTTGACAACACCACTGTTCAAAAAATACTGAGGAACATCATCCGGTGGTATGAATCATCAATGTTTTCTTTTTTTCATTCTTTTTCTATTAGTAATAGGTAACTCAATTGCATGTAAATATCGCTCATTCAGCAGTCTCTCTTTGAATCGTACATTTATTTTTTAGTGTTGTTTTATTAATTCTTCAAATGGAGATAGTCACCATCCTCGATTTCAGCTCTTATTGAGGAGTAATATTAATTGCGAACATGTAAGAAAACTGTTAGATTTATTTCAAAGATTTTCTACTATCACACTTTGAAATTTTCTGTTCTGTCCTTTACATTTAGAAGTCATCCTTTTATCCCATAATCGGGAGACCCTGTACGATTATGGGGCATTTACTGTTGTAAATTTACGACCGAAATCATCTAAATTCACCAAAAACATTGCGGCATCTTAAACCCTAGTGACCTGCGGATTCGGCCTGGATTGCCAGTTTTACGCCTCCTGACCAGGTGTCATTCATCGGATCATAGATGAGGTCTTATAAAAGGCAATTTAATTTTGAACCTCCAATCAAAATGCTAAACCAATATTATCCAGAGATCGTTACCTTACTTTCAATTTAAAATGTAATACACTAATCAAACTTTATAAGTTACCCTCCCGCCATTCAAAGTTGGCCGCCATCCTGGATTTGATGCACCCCGTTTGACCAGGGGCTTTTTTTTGAAAATATATTTGAAATTTACGACTAAAAAGACATAGGAAATGACACCTTATACCACAAGAGATGCACATTTTAAATTAACTTCATGCTTGATAATCTAAACACGGCCGCCTTTTTGCATTTTAGGCATTTTAAGGGGAGTTCCGCGGTGGAGCCGTGGAAAACGTTTTGTTTGTTTTGTGTTATTCAGGCGATCCAATGATGGTATTCTTGTAGGAAAAGTCTATCACGCAATTTGTTCCGAGTTAGCCCTCTTTCTCCCGTATTTCTCCCGGACTGAACGAGAATTTGTGCCAAATTTCCGGAAAAATACGGGTTTTCGAATTTTACACTAAAACGGTTGCACTTACAGAAAAAACGATAAGAAAGTGATTTATTTAATTTTGAACCTCTAATCAAAATGCTAAACCAATATTATCCAGAGATCGTTACCTTACTTTCAATTTAAAATTTAAAATCTCTCTGAGGATTGTGGTGTCTGCGCATAGATTTTGGAAACCACCCTGGACCGTGGGATCCAAAAAACAATAAGTATTATAGAAATCGTTTTCATTTCATGTTCACCATGGAATTACTGCTTCCAAATTTCCAGGATTGTGAAATTCGAGCTGTGATCAGATTTTTTGTGAGGAAGGTAAAATTGGCAGTGATATTCAGTGCGAATTGGTCTCTGTGTGTGGTAAAAAGTGTATGAATGTACAAATGGTACAGAAGTGGGTCGATCAGTTTGAAAAAGGTCGTGTGGAAATCTATGATTTGTATTGTTCGGGTCGTCCGTGTGAGGCCATCACTAAAGGTAGTGGAGGTAGTGGCTACGTAGAGAAATAAGGTATGCTCTGTAATCATAGCTTTTTTTATTTTTATTTTTTCGATGGTCATATATTGTGAAAATTTTAAAGTAAAAGCTCTCCTGTTTAATGGGCTACTACAAATCTGGCCAAGATGACTGGAGACAATCGCGGCGCGGCGCGAATCTGCGTCTTGCGTGCGGTCGCATACTATCTAATTGCTTGAAATCTTCGATTTCTAGACTCAATAAATCCTATCATAGATTTTTAGCCCAAGTTGGTTAAATTTGGTCCATTTTTGTGCATCTTAGAGGGAGTGCGAACTTAATTTTTGAACGCCCCTCGTAGAATATTTTCTTCTTTTTCTTTTTCTGTTTTTGTTTTTATCAATTTTTATGATGAAAATGACTTACTATTTTTTCCTTTCTAACCTTCAGTAACTTTTTGTAGTTATTTCCATGAATTTTTCTTTACACTCACCGAAATCCTTGGAAATCGAGATTCTCCTGAAAAAAGGACTTATTTGATGAAATTTCAGTGATTGGTGCATGTTAGGGAAAAACCAAGGTCGTTTTCGGAGTCAGCAGCCAAACTTACACAAGATTCCATGAATCGTATGCCCGAAAACATTTTCCACACCGTGTATGATAAGGTTGTCTCATCAAATAGCATAATCCATCCATCCCCCATGTAAAACTAGTCTCCTTGTTTTGCGCCTAAAAGGACGAGAAAATTATTTTACTCAACTTTAATGGGTCTTTTTCATGTGTTCTATGCTGCTGTATCTAAAAATAACTTCAATTTCTTTTCACCCCCTACCAATTTGCTGATAATTGAATTTTCCAAGAACCCACATTTTGGAACTTGAAGAGGGCATTTTTTGGAAAATTTGATTATCTGAAAAATTGATAGGTGAAAGGTAAAAGTTCAGGTGATTTTCAATCCTGGCAGCATATGTGAAGGAAGTAGTCAAATTAGCTACCGGGGTGAGATAATATCCCCGTTCTTTAAGATATAAAAGAAAGGGATCAGTTTCACATGAAGTGATGTGATAGGACCATGGTAGTACTCAAATTTTGCACCAAGTCAGGGAAATTTCATTCAGAACTATGCGGAGACAAAAGATGAAATCAGATCAAAACTAAATTTTCACTATGAGAAATTTTTGGCCAGAAATTTAAAGAATCCTGTTTTGCTGTGCCATAATGTATGATAAAAGCACATAAGACAAAGAAAACTGATACAAAGAATCCTGAAATATGGTGAAATTTTCATGAAAAGTCTAAGAATCTTGAAATATGGTGAAATTTTCATGAAAAGTCTTGATCAACTTGCATAAGTACAAGTAGCTGTAATAAAAGCTTATAAGACAAAAAAAACCTTTACAAATAATCCTGAAATATGGTAAAATTTTCATGAAAAATCTTGATCAACTTGCATAAGTACAAGCAGCTGTAATTTTGATTTTACAGTGCAGTACATGCCACTAAATGTGTGCCAAAAATTCAAAAAATATCTTCGCTCAAAAATATTTTCAGTACTTCATGCTTTTTGATTTGCCCCTTAATGATAGTTCAAAAATTGGTTTAAAAAAAGCTGCATTTTAAAGTTTAAATATTGACACATAGAAAATGGATTGGAAACCTTGCTCCACGAAGAATATAATCGAGCACCAACGGCAAAGAGACTGCTTGAAAGTTTTGAATGGCTCTTAAGTCTGTTGATTTAGGAGCTTCTAAGTGTCATCATCCGACATTTGCATACGGGGTGATGGAAAAGTCTCTCATCATTGATATAACCTTTAGGACTCCCATCGCTTTCCAGAGTAAGCCCCTTAATAGCTTGAAGTGTTCCTAAAGTTGTTTACTTTGACCAATAAGCACTGGAAAAATTTTAAGTCTCTATCTCCGATTGCTCAAAAGCTAAAGGTGTGATGTCGGTGCTGGTGATGTGAGACTTATGGTTCACCCTGTAGATCAGATGTTTAGAACCATTGTTGCCAGATTGTGCTGAAAATTAGCAGTCTCCCCCATTTAAACCCGTTTTAAATACCCACATTTAATGACGTAACCTGGCCACCTTGGTTAAAACTGACTTGCAACAAACATGAATGCACCCTCCACACATTGATAAAGCTCGATTCTATGTATTTATTTATTTATTTATTTTATAATTTGTACAATTGAGCCTCTGGCTGAGGTTATGGCACACGTCATATTTGGTACATGGTGAACAGTTACAGCGATATACATAAGGTACAAGTGTTAAATTTTACTAGCCTACAAGTTCGTGAAGATTATAGAAGGCTTTTTCGAATAAGAAAGCACGCAGCCCCATAAAGAACGACGTTAGATCAGCATTTCGAAAGTGTAGCTTCACACTCCAAGGCAGTGCGTTGAACATCTGTATTGCCGAAAATTTGACATCCTGCTCAGTTCGTCTCAATCGAATCATTTTATTATACAATACATGTGTTGCTAAACTCAGCATCATCAGATGACCGGGTAATGTCAATTAGGTCATTTTTTGGGAATTGAGACTCACAATTTTGTTGAAATTCAGTCCATTACTCAATGCACTATAAGCTGTCGCAGAACTCCTTTGCGTAACGTGTATGTTTTCGGTCGCTAGCAGTTCTTTTTGAAAGCGTTTTTAATGTCCTCGCAAAAATAAGCCTTATTTTTCTCCAAGGATTTATTTTTGAGAGATTTCACTGTGGTGATTTTTTCCTTGTATCAGAAACAGTAGGAACACTATTTGCAGGCCAGCCCCTCCTTTGCCTAACTGACTCATAACTCCTTGTCATAGCAAACTCTAAATTAAATTACTGTGTAGGTTAATAATAACTGAGTGAAAAATTTTACTTATATCTGTTGCACATTAAGGTATTATACTTTATTACTTGTGTGATTTTTAACATTAACCTTGAACTTTTTTCCCCTCAGAATCAGTCGAAAAATGTTACAACCCCGATTCGTTTGGCGAGGGAAGTGAATCGGGAGAGCTGCAGCCTGGAAAAAGCTTAGTTTTTGCAGTCTTGGAAGTCTGTTCATGTTTATTGGCCAAGCAACTTCCTGCCTTGAATTTTGTTCCAATTTTGTCTAATTCTATTAAACCAGCACAGCCTCCATCTGGACTTTTTTCCATGCTGATGACAAGTGTTCTACAAATCATAGAAAAAATTCCAAGGTTGTGTTCACCTCAAGGTGAGTCTCACAAAATTCAGCTGTTTCAGGTTGTTTGGTATCAGTTAAAACCTGAAAGTACTGTGAAATGTAAAGTTTAATTGATTTCGTCAGAAAAACTTTGTGAAATACTTTTTTTTTAGATTTATTTATTAGTATATAAAAATTCAATAAAATACAGAAGTGAAAGTTACTTATTAAATATATGTATAAAGCTACTGTACCGAGATTTCATCAACACTTTACGAAAAAACTGTCGGAGCTATTTCCTTCAAACTCTGCAAGAATGAAGCTAAGAAACATCTTTACATGCCTGAAAAATCAAATTTAGAAAAAAATGCCGCTGAAGCCTAAAAACAAGAAAAGTTGTTTCTTCCTATACTAATGCATCGGGGATACGAGGTTGTTCACGCGCACCGCGCCAAATAGGTTCAATCCTCTCGCGTGACGTCACAGCATTATAGACGAAATTTCAGGTTTTAGGGGGTATTTTTCGATGGATTTATCCGGGGTATGGTATGGATAAGTCCAGGGGGTTTATCCATCTCAGGGTAGCTACGCCAGGCGCATTCAGGCGAAAAAGGGTTCAAAACGTTTGAAGGCCTACCAAAGCCTCCTTACCGTTAATGTATCATATAATTAAAGCAAAGGAAAGAGAAGAAGAGATTAGTATCAGACAAAATTAGTCCTTAATCCTCAGTTTCTGTGTCCTTCGACATGCAGCTCTTAGGAAACTTGGTTAAGTTGGGGGAATACAGTTTCACTCTAACAAAATACCTTTCCAAATGTGCGCAAAACTTCCCTCCTATTGATAGTTTTTTTTATAAAGAGTTGACTAAACCACTTAGATTTTCCATCTTATTTCAGGTGCTGTGTCTGTTCTACCAACTCTTTTATTTTTTACGACCAGTGTGCTGAAAGAGATAGCAGGAAAAACTAGAGGCGATGCTGTCAACTTATACTCTCACCCTGTGACAGTTGCTGCCCTACACACTTTACGCAGTCTGTGTACGGACAAGTTCTGCAAAGATGATGTGGCAGGTCCACAGTGGAAGGCACTGCTTCAAAGCACTCTTGCAAAAATCATTGATTTGATTAAAACAAGTAGGTTATTCAACATTTATTTTATTTTTCTCCCCCTCCCCCCCCAAAAAATAAATACGCATCTTATTTTAGGCGTTGTGATCAGTTGTCAGGTTCCACTAAATATTAATAAAGTAGCACCTCAATCAGCAAAAGACTATTCATTATGAGTTTGACCCAATCAAGAGGAGACCTCCTACAAAACTGCACAAATTGAATCGGATCAGCCCATTATAAATTAGCCATAGCAGTATATAGCAGCTGTAGTAGTTATAACAGCACATAGCAACTAAAGTAGCTGTAGTAGCCCATAATAAATTAGACGTTAATTTATTTCTAATTTTCTAATGTTTTATTTTTGAAGCCAAAAACCAAGACACACTGAATTTTGAATTTTTTTAGTACATGCTCCTCTTAACTCAGGGTATTCATGGACAATTTGTTTGCGTGGGGTACTTCACATCCTTTTAAAAAAGAACAAAACTTGAGAGAGAATTAGGCAATGCAAGATAGAAATGTAAGATGCAGCTAGACAGATTTCCAGTGATTTCAAGAGTTTAGAGTATTGTTGAAGAATTATACAAAGGTAGATCTGTGAGAGAATACTATCAACCCTCACACAGTCAAATCGCAGTTGGATCAAGTTTGGGTTCGACTCAAGTGGAAAGAGTTAAACATCCGCCCCTCGGGTCAAAGAGGCTGTCCCATTTTCCATAGGAAATGGCCGCAAGAGATTTTACATCCATATTTTCAGGAATCATAACGGATCATCGGAGAGGCCTAAATCCGGTGACCTTCTAGTCCAGGCGCCCAGTAGCTAAAAATGAGGCTACCTGGAATTTTGGGTACACAGCGATTTGTTTGGCTTAGTTTATGTTTTTTGGGTCGCTGAATCCGAATCTGAAGTTTCCTACCGCGTATCTGGTGAGCATTTTCCGCTATTTTGAAAAAATGGCCTTAAAAGGCCTTATTTTGCGGTTTTTTTTTATGTAGCGGCTATGCATGAGAAAAAATCCCGGATTTAGCTAATGTTTCGAATAGCTGACAAAATTTGGAAGAAAATGGTGTATACATATGCTAGGTTTGCTTAAAAAGTGAGGAAGATGAAGCATCGTGAACATCGCGCCCATGCACGTTTTCGCGGCGCACCCGTTAACGCGTGATCCGGCTCGCCGCGGTCAGCTAAGTTCCGAAGCGTTCCAAAGTTCCGAGATCCGAGGTTCCTCAATTTTTGAGCAAACCTAGCATATTCATATACCATTTTCTTCCAAATTTTGTCAGCTATTCAAAACATTAGCTAAATCCGGGATTTTTTCTCATGCGTAGCCGCTGCATAAAAAAAACCGCAAAAAAAGGCCTTTTTAGGCCATTTTTTCAAAATGGCGGAAAATGCTCACCAGATACGCGGTAGGAAACTTCAGATTCGGATTCAGCGACCCAAAAAACGTAGTGTGAGCCAAAAAAATCGCTGTGTACCCAAAATTCCAGGTAGACTTACCAGGCGCCTGGACTATTTCCCGTCTAGCCCTCCAAGTGGCGAGGGGGAGGGGGTCAAAGGTCAAACACACAGACCGCCATAACTTTTGAACGAAACAACGGATCAACGTGATCTTGGGCTCAAATGAAAGCTCTCAACAAGACCTTTCATTTTATGTATATTAAAGTCTGTTTTTGGTAATTTTTCAATGTGAAAAAAATCATTTTTTGATTTTTAAGCCCAAAAAATTCAGTTTTTCGAGTTTTTCTCAAGCAGAAAACGCAGGAATCACTACAAAAACCAGTGCAAATGAAATCCCTTGATTCAAGCTTTAAAACGAGCTATAGTTCAACTTGGGGAAACAAATGGTTCAAAAGTTATGACCGTTCAAAGCTGGCGTGGCGCGCCTGAGAGAAAACACCCCTGCCTCCCATCATACGAGGAAGGGAGGAGGTGCATTGTCCCTGCGGAAAGATATTCTACCAAATTCGCTAGGAATTCGAGTTTCCCGTCCAAAAATACCCCCAAAATAGGAAGGGGTGTTTTCTCTGTTAGGGTTAACCCTCCAGTGTGTAATAGTGACACCAGGGTCGTCTTCCTTATGCAGTCAGTGCTAAAACAATCTGTAGTTTCTAATTGCAAAATGAGCTTCCCCAGATTCTTCATTTTGCAATAAGGAACTAAAGCCTTTTTTTGTAGTTTTTGGCAACAGTGTGATGTTTTCGAAGAATCTTTGAACACAGGGTGTTAAAGGAACTCCATAGCTATAAAATGAACCATCAAACCGCAACATTGATCATTTTGAGGAAAAACGCCAATTGTTTTTGCAAAAGTTGCTCTCCTGAAAACCTACCGTATTGCCTATAGTTTCGAATTGCAAAACGCTATCCAATTTGGCTATGAAATATTAAATCATGCAGGGGGGAGGGGGCGAAAAATAATGTATGCCAGCGTCTTATCGTTTATTGGCATTTAATTTTTTTTCATATCCCTTTTTTCGTTAGAAATGAAAGTAATATTGCACTAATGATTGGTCATTCTTTAGGTGGAGGGAACTTTGGACCTTTTTGTATCCATCGTCAGCTGAAGTGGTCACCGGGGGAAAAGGTAGGAAGGGGTGGCACGCAAGTATACACTCTGCGCGCTTCGAAAATAGCGCGCCACGCCAGCTTTAAACGGTCATAACTTTTGAACCATTTGTTTCCCCAAGTTGAACTATAGCTCGTTTTAAAGCTTGAATCAAGGGATTTCATTTGCATTGGTTTTTGTAATGATTCCTGCGTTCCCTGCTTGAGAAAAACTCGAAAAACTGAATTTTTTGGGCTTGAAAAATCAAACAATGATTTTTTCACATTGAAAAATTTCCAAAAACAGACTTTAATATACATATAATGAAAGGTCTTGTTGAGAGCTTTCATTTGAGCCCAAGATCACGTTGATCCGTTGTTTCGTTCAAAAGTTATGGCGGTCTGTGTGTTTGACCTTTGACCCCCTTCCCCCTTGCCTTTGGAGGGCTAGACGGGAAAAGTCACCGGATTTAGGCCTCTCCGATGATCCGTTATGATTCCTGAAAGTATGGATGTAAAATCTCTTGCGGCCATATCCTATGGAAAATGGGACAGCCTCTTTTCACTTATAGTACGGTGGCTTAGCGCCAAAAAAGGGCCAAATGCTGCAAATCGTGATTCAGTTTTGCCACTTTGGGAGATCAAACTAGATGATATTTTAAGAGCTTTGAGTCGAAGAGGCATTTTCAAAATGGTGGCAGAGCCAAGATGGCGGCCATTCAAAATGGCGGCCGGGCGCGTACTTTGAGCCGCTATAGATCGATATCCACTGAACCGATTTAATTTTTCTTTCTTTGTTTGATAGATAATTAAAAGGTAAATACAACAAAATCACAAAATTTTTGATTTTGACAATATACAGGGTGTTTTTTTCATAAAAACCGGTTTTTGTGTATTGAAAAAAAGCTTTTAACCCATATATCTTTTAAAATTGCATTATCAAGGTCACTTTAAATACTCACCATGTAAAAAAGCGTCTTTTAAGCTTTCCAACGATTTATTACATGATGGGTCTATGATTTAAGGTTTCCGCGCGGCGGCGGCACAGCTGGGGCCTGCATAAATTAGTCCACGGGCATATGTTGAAAAGAAGCCTACCGTGGAATAGTAAATGGAGTAAGTGTGGAAAATGGTCTAATCTCTTCTTTTCGATGTATAGAAAAATAATTTTGATGTTGTCAAGCTCAATTTTGCGTCCAACCCCTCCAATTCAACATGGCGGCCAAAATTGGGGCTCGGGGGTTGAAGATGTTGGAATTTGTTTTTGATGTCGTGTATGGGGTCCATCACCATGTAATTTTGGTCGTAGAATCCGAATTTGAGGTCCAAAATTGTCTCCGGCTCAAAGGGATGCCCAAAATCCAATATGGCCGCCAAAATTGCTACGATAGGGTCAAATCTCCGAGAGTTGCGTAAAAGTGCCGAGTAGGGTGTCTTTCCTAAGGTTTTTTGGGTCGTAGATTTCACTGATGAGGTCAGAATTTTACTACAGGTTTATTGAAGCCCAAAAATTTCAATATGGCGGCCAAATGGCTGCCGTTGCGGGGTGAAATATTTTGTTGAGGCTCGTATCGTCGAATGAGGTGTCCCTGCATGGGTTTTTTGGGTCGTAAATTCCACAAATGAGGTCCAAATACCCAAACAGGCCCATAAAAGTTCTCTAAGAACCAAAGTGGTGGCCAACATGGCTGCCGCTCAGATAGTGAGAACGGTAGAGAAGTTACCTTTCATACAATGATGAATTTTCGTGTATGTTTTGTACTCCGCTGATTCTGGATGTAGTCCTCTAGTACATCGGAGTGGTAGCGATAGTGGTCTGTAGTGCATCTAGGACATGCTCAAGAGCGTATTTTCTGATTTTTCCCAAGAAGATACTTTTCTCGACGAAAGGACAAAATAGGCTATTCTGAATACAAATCTTATTCGTTCGTTTTCCATCTGAAAAGTAGGGTGAATATTTTGTAGATGTCCGGTAGGACAAATCTTGTGTACTTTTGATTGATTAGAATATCGCACTGAGTCTACCAAGAAATTTACTTCAATACTGTCCTTGAAAAACACCTTACGCATCCATGGTGCTGTTAAATCTACATATATATAACCGAAATTTATTACAATTATTTTGTGAGGATGAAAAAATTAAATTGAGCCTCAGTGTTAGGCATATACAAATTACTGAACACGATGAAAATTAATTCTAGTTTACCATTTGTAGCAATTTCGTATGCAGATAGTGTTCGTTTTTTGCACGCCTCATCCTACTTAACAGCAGGAACGTGGACTTAACAATTGAGAAGCTTTGCGGAAAAAGGGCACATTGCAAAAAATTGTGTATGAGAAAAATGCATCATAAGTTTCCATCATTACTTTCCGGTCACTGATGATAACTTATACATCGGAGTTTGGACTCCCAATTTCGAACGCAAGTCACAGTCAGTGGCCATAATTATAATGATAGAAACTTCGAATGCATTTTTCTCAAAGGCCATTTTTTGCTATATGTGCCCTTGAATCAATGCTTGCAATCAATGAACAGACAATCCCATGCTGAGCCGCAGGATTTTCCCCCAAACATTTTACTTTTTTGCCGTGTCCATGACTGCAAAATTTTCTGAGTATGAGTAAAGTCGTACATTTTCTCCAAAAGGAAGTGTGGGTTGCAAAATCTCATTAGCAGTGCAAATTACGTGGTATACGTATCCACTTCACTTATTTTCTTGACATTCTGGACTACATCCGGAATCAGCAGAGTACAAAACATACACGAAAATTCATCATTGTATGAAAGGTAACTTCTCTACCGTTCTCACTATCTGAGCGGCAGCCATGTTGGCCACCACTTTGGTTCTTAGAGAACTTTTATGGGCCTGTTTGGGTATTTGGACCTCATTTGTGGAATTTATGACCCAAAAAACCCATGCAGGGACACCTCATTCGACGATACGAGCCTCAACAAAATATTTCACCCCGCAACGGCAGCCATTTGGCCGCCATATTGAAATTTTTGGGCTTCAATAAACCTGTAGTAAAATTCTGACCTCATCAGTGAAATCTACGACCCAAAAAACCCTAGGAAAGACAACCTACTCGGCACTTTTACGCAACTCTCGGAGATTTGACCCTATCGTGGCAATTTTGGCGGCCATATTGGATTTTGGGCATCCCTTTGAGCCGGAGACAATTTTGGACCTCAAATTCGGATTCTACGACCAAAATTACATGGTGATGGACCCCATACACGACATCAAAAACAAATTCCAACATCTTCAACCCCCGAGCCCCAATTTTGGCCGCCATGTTGAATTGGAGGGGTTGGACGCAAAATTGAGCTTGACAACATCAAAATTATTTTTCTATACATCGAAAAGAAGAGATTAGACCATTTTCCACACTTACTCCATTTACTATTCCACGGTAGGCTTCTTTTCAACATATGCCCGTGGACTAATTTATGCAGGCCCCAGCTGTGCCGCCGCCGCGCGGAAACCTTAAATCATAGACCCATCATGTAATATATCGTTGGAAAGCTTAAAAGACGCTTTTTTACATGGTGAGTATTTAAAGTGACCTTAATAATGCAATTTTAAAAGATATATGGGTTAAAAGCTTTTTTTCAATACACAAAAACCGGTTTTTATGAAAAAAACACCCTGTATATTGTCAAAATCAAATATTTTGTGATTTTGTTATATTTACCTTTTAATTATCTATCAAACAAAGAAAGAAAAATTAAATCGGTTCAGTGGATATCGATCTATAGCGGCTCAAAGTACGCGCCCGGCCGCCATTTTGAATGGCCGCCATCTTGGCTCTGCCACCATTTTGAAAATGCCTCTTCGACTCAAAACTCTTAAAATATCATCTAGTTTGATCTCCCAAAGTGGCAAAACTGAATCACGATTTGCCATAAGCCACCGTACTATTAAAGAAATTTGATTTTATGCAATGTTGCAGCAATTTGTGAGGAGCCTAAGAATAAAAGTGGTTGAAAGTGTTCTGGCAAATTCCGAACAGCATTATGTGTCCATTGTAAACTTGGTAAACTGTTAAATTAAAGATGCACAGTTTAGCAGGTTGTGTTCGAGTTTCTAACTTTTGATCTTAGCGAGCTCCGCAGGACAGATTGAGAAAACCAGAAAAAGACATCAAATTTTTAACAATATCTCCGGTTGTTATTCCTACAAATTTGAATTGGATACTGCTGGATATGCAAGCGAATAAGCTATAATTACATTCTGTAATCGTCAATTTGTTCTCTGATAAAATTTTGATCGCCCCCTCCAAAAAAAACAGCGGATATTCACCTTTTTTTTAAATGATGGTGTCACACGGTTTTTTACCCGCACTGCAAAAACGACGTTGGAAAGGTAGGTTTCCTCCATTTTAAAAAAGGCTCCTCATTGAAAAAAAAAAGAAGCAAAATCTTGACACTATTTACAGCCTTGTCACCTCAGAAAGAAGAACACTTATGTCACGAAGTGTGATTTTATAATCGGGATTTTATCTCTGTAATTTTTTCAGAATCTGAAGATACGCAAGTAGATGAAACTGTAATGATGTTAGCAATTGCAGTCTTTGTACTGCATGCACCGTCGGATGTTGTTTGTGTCGCCTATTTGAAATATCCATGCATCAACCACTTTAGACTCTGTTTAGAAAATCCTAATGTTCAGGTTTGTTATGTTCATTTCCTCTCCTGCTAATAGTTTTACGGTTCAATTTGGCTAAAATCAGTAACTTTAGACACATTAGATTTGCTCTGCATCTTGTCTAATGATGCTAAAAATAATTTTTAGCATGTAAAACACTGGATTCCAGAAAGAAGCAAGAAACAGCTGTCTAAAGCCTACGTTTCTATCGGCTTGGTGTACAACTTAATGTTATTACAGTAACCCAAAGAGTACATTACGTTCGCCCCATCAAAGTTTCTACTGTCAACATTTTCTTGCTTGTTTTGAGTGTGTGTCAACTTGCCGCTTTTTTCGTCTGTTTCTGTGGCTTTGTGAGATTATTTGGATGTATTTCTGCTAAAAGGAACTAGAGAAGAGTGGGAAATATGGGGTGTGCTGTAAAAAGCAGCATAAGAAACCAAGTGGACGTGATTCCTTTTGTGGAAATGTGAAAGTGGGATTTTATTTATTTATTTTCAGTTTAATACATGAGAGCCGCAAGGCCATGGTATACGTCAAGCTACAGAAAGGACGAAAAAGAAAATTTTACATATCAGCTAAGCACTAAGTATCACAGGTAAACACTAAATATCACAATTAACTAGGCACTAAAAACAGAAAAAGAACAGAGAAAGATGATCAGCTATAAAACAACAAAAACAAGAACAGCCAAGAGGCTGAGAGGATTCATCCAAGAGGGTGTCCGAATTTACGCCATTCAGCAACTCATCTACACTGTAGAATGCATTATTGAGGAGATATTGTAAAATCTTATCTAGGAAAGAATTTACATGGCCATCACGAAAGATAGATTTTAATTCTCAAGGAGGGGCATTAAACATTTGGATCGATGAGTACTTTACACTGCGCGTTGTTGAAGTCAGCCTGACCTTTGAATTGTTTATATTTTTATATCTGCTATTATACAAGTGGGCAGGAAAGAGATCTTCAGGATTGATCAAATTGATAAAGATGGAAAAGTTAATACACTCAACAATGTAGATAGAGGGAAGGGTAAGGAGCTCCTTCTGGATGAATAGCTGGCGGCAGGGGGAATTTAAAGGTCTATTAAACATTATTCTTATCAATTTCTTTTGTTGAATAAAGACATCAAGCGCATCGACGCTATGACCCCACAGAATCTAACCATATCTGATATGCGAAACAATGTTTCCGTGATAGAAAAGTAGACAGCATCGAGGCACAGAGATTCTAGACAAATTTTTAAGGGCCCAGGCCGCAGTTTGAAGCTTTGCAACAACAACATGGTATTTTAGTGCTTATCAAGATGCAGACCTAAGAATTTAACATTGTCGATTGAGCTAACATATGCTGTGCCGTTTAAATGGACAAACTTGGCCACGAGGATCCAGGAAGGAGAGGAGGTGAAAACCAGGACTTGAGTCTCAGTATCATTTACGAAAAGACCATTGACTTCAAACCAATGGGAGGTAAGGGCATAAAGATTGTGCAATCGCCATATAAGATCATCTCCTAAAGCAGTGGCTGAGATGTCATCAGCAAATAAGACTGAAAAGTATGGAACATTACATGGGAGATCATACATGTAGATAACGAATAACAGAGGTCCAAGCAGCGAGCCCTGCAGGACTCCAGTTGAAATCTTGCAGGTCTCAGAATAAACAGGACTGCTGGGCGCATCAACTTTAACTGATTTTAGCTGCCCGAAAAATAGGATTTCATTACTTAAAGGGCACCGACACTGAAACCGTAGTATTTCAGTTTTTTTTTAACAAGAGGGAATGATTTAGTAAATCAAAGCCTTTGCAAGGTGGAAATTCATACTAGGTATAGAGATTTTACTTTTTAAAGTATCATAGATAGCATCTAACATTATGTGAACTGCTTCAATAGTTGACTTTCCCCTCCTGAAGCCTAATTGGTTCGAGTGTAGTAAATTGTTTGAATCCAAATGAGAGATCATTTGCTTAAGCAGTACATTATCAAAAACCTTAGAAAGAAAAGGCAGTACACAGATAGGTAGGTAGTTATCTACAACCTTTTTGTTGCCTTTTTTGAACAAAGGAGTTACTTTTGCAAGCTTAAGGCTATTAGGAGAAACTCCCATTTCAGTATAACCGTTAATGAGATTTAACAAGTGTGGATCGACAATTTCATAATAATCTACAAAAATGAAGGAGGGCAGATCACCATTTTGATCAGAAAAACTAGGCTTAATACTACAGATACAAGAGTAAAGTTGATCTAAATCTATCTTCTTGAATGATAATATCTTTTTGTCATTGACTGGAAAGTTAGATAGGTGCTGAAAGGCCTCTCCAACATCAACAGTGTTTGGGTAGCAGGAGGAACGCAAATAGGTTGTCAAATGATCACTAAATGCATCAGCTATGTCCACTGGGTTAGAAATTCCGATATTCTTGTAAATGATGGGATTAAATCGATTTGTTGATATTTTTGGACTCCTCATTTATTAACTTCCACATGTTCTTTGTTTTATCCGGTGTCTTATTAATGACATCCTCACACATGTTACACTTATGATGGTAAACATTTTTTTGAGCAATTTATTTCATTTGTTACTTTATCTTTTTATACTTCCTCAAGCCAGTTAATTTAAAAAAGTAAGATATTATGTTTTTTTTTTCCTCAGAACAAGCTCCTTACAATATATTCTACTAAATAAATCTGTTTTGCTTTTTGTTCTAATCAACGAACTGCAGAAATCCATGATAGAATAAATTTTGATAGTAAAATAATTGAATTTTTGTGAGGGATGGATTAAGGAGAAAAATCAGAAGATAGACAGGAAGTATTGCAAATGAGACGCAAGATTATGGCGCTTTTCACTGGTCCAGACTCTACTTAATCTGCCTGGAGAGATATTTTGTGGTGACTTTAACATATCAATTTAGGCTCGTTAAGCGATATGATCAGAGTGCCTGGGATCCCATGTTTCAGTGTTGTTGCAAGGAATATTTGGAAAACAGTTGTCAATTAGAGTTTTCAATTCCTTCTGTATTCTAGAAGGTTTATCCAAGAATAAAGGAGCAAGATTGAAACTTTTAAGAATATTCTTAAAAGAAGCTGCATTTTTACAGGTCTTATCTAATAAATTTAAATTAAAATCCCCTGCTATAGTGTAGCATGATTGCTTACCAATGAGTGTGGATAGTACATATTCTGAATTGTATAGAAACATTGGTAAATCCCCTAACGACGGTCGGTATATAACTATCACATAACAAGGCTTAGACAGAGTCACATTATCAACATGGTTAACAGTAATAGCACTAATTTCAAAGTTACTTTCCGAGATGAGGTCAAAGAATATTTGACTTTGGGAGTAACCAATGCCAGGCGAAGGTAGGTAGTAGATAATATATTTAAGTGCTGTTTTATGTCAGCACTTAAATATTACTAACTATATTACTTTATGTATATATTATTCTACCTCTCCTTCTCTATTGCTAATGATTAATATATATATATATTATTCTGCCTCTCTCTATTGCTAATGATTAATATACAGGGTGCAGCAAAAGTCCCGGGACGGCTGTTTATTTTTTAAACGGCTACATGTAGAAAAACGAATTTTGGGGGATGTCCTTGGGTCAAAGTAAGCTACTTTTTGTCACTCCCCAAAATTTGTTTGGGGGCCCCCCTAGGGGAGGGCGGGGGGCAACTTTTTTTTTTCAAATGGCAACCCCCCACTTGTGACCCATCGTTGAAATGAGGATAAAAAAAAGAAAATTTTTGGCGCAAGTCCCAGGTCGTCATCTTGATTTTTCACAAAATGGCGGCCGAAAATGGCTAAAAAATGGGTATCTCGGCTATTTATCGATGGAATTGCATACAACGTACTTGGTATCCGGGGGTTTTTTCGGACGAAAAAAACGAGTCTGCCTTCAGTTTTCTAAATAACCATTCCTTCCCAACATGGCAGCCTACAAAATGGCGGAAAAATTGTTAGCTCGACTATTTATCAATGGAATTGCATAAGACTTGGTATCCGGGCGTTCATTGGGACGAGAAAAACGGATTCGGTAATAGTTTTGCAAAATTCTCACACTATTCTAAAATGGCGGCCGAAAATGTCATGAAATTTTGGGTACGTTCGTAACCTTCCCATTGATTACCGTGGAATTAAGGAGAAAACAGAAGTTTGTTGTAACCGATGACTTGATTGCACCTTGCTCTTCTTTTCACTTAATTTATTTTCTGCCATAACAAAGAGCAAAAATTTTGACAAGAAGACTCCTAATGAAAAACCGCACCACGAAATCGGGGGGGGGGGGGGGGGGGGTACCGAGTGAAATTTCGCTTACTTAACCTTCGGTAGGGAAGAAAACATGTAGGACTGAGGCGAAAACACCGATCTATTAATTGACAATACGTTATCAATTTGTTTCCAAAATCAGGTAGATGTTTTGGAAAGTCTTATTACACCTGCAGAACCCTTCCAGCAGCGGCTTGCACTGCTTGGAAAATAGGAAACATAATGTACAATGGCCAACTCATCGTCAACAGAGCAGCCCCCCCCCCCCCCCCCCC